GGAGGATCTGCCCCATCCTCTCGAGAAGGATGCACTGGATCTGGAGGAAGAGGCACAAAGCTTTTTGGAGGATCCAGAACTGGAGGATGGAGTTTCTGGGAACAATACTGGAGAAACTGGCTCACCCGAACCTTGGCCCTGATCTGGAAGAGGTGCATCTTACAGCCACGTCATCCCATCGGATGCAATTCGACCCAGTGGCGACACCAACGAGGATGTCCCTGATCCGGAACCCGATCAGGAGGCTTGGCCTGAAAGTGCCACAGGCCCAGGAGGAGCTGCCCCATCCTCTCGAGAAGGATGCACTGGATCTGGAGGAAGAGGCACAAGGCTTCTTGGAGGATCCAGAATTGGAGGATGGAGTTTCTGGGGACTATACTGGAGAAACTGGCTCACCCGAACCTTGGCCCTGATCTGGAAGAGGTGCATCTTACAGCCACGTCATCCCATCGGATGCAATTCGACCCAGTGGCGACACCATCGAGGATGCACCTGATCCGGAACCCGATCAGGAGGCTTGGCCTGGAAGTGCCACAGGCCCAGGAGGATCTGCCCCATCCTCTCGAGAAGGATGCACTGGATCTGGAGGAAGAGGCACAAAGCTTTTTGGAGGATCCAGAACTGGAGGATGGAGTTTCTGGGAACAATACTGGAGAAACTGGCTCACCCGAACCTTGGCCCTGATCTGGAAGAGGTGCATCTTACAGCCACGTCATCCCATCGGATGCAATTCGAACCAGTGGCGACACCATCGAGGATGCACCTGATCCGGAACCCGATCAGGAGGCTTGGCCTGGAAGTGCCACAGGCCCAGGAGGAGCTGCCCCATCCTCTCGAGAAGGATGCACTGGATCTGAAGGAAGAGGCACCAAGCTTCTTGAAGGATCCAGAACTGGAGGATGGAGTTTGTGGGGACAATACTGGAGAAACTGGCTCACCCGAACCTTGGCCCTGATCTAAAAGAGGTGCCCAGAAGAGGTACCCAGTGGCGACACCAACGAGGATGTCCCTGATCCGGAACCCGATCAGAAGGCTTGGCCTGGAAGTGCCACAGGCCCAGGAGGAGCTGCCCCATCCTCTCGAGAAGGATGCACTGGATCTGGAGGAAGAGGCACAAAGCTTCTTGAAGGATCCAGAACTGGAGGATGGAGTTTCTGGGGACTATACTGGAGAAACTGGCTCACCCGAACCTTGGCCCTGATCTAGAAGAGGTGCATCTTACAGCCACGTCATCCCATCGGATGCAATTCGACCCAGTGGCGACACCAACGAGGATGCACCTGATCCGGAACCCGATCAGGAGTTCAAAATATTCAAAATATTGCTTTAATATAGTTTGAAAATTTTTCGAATTTTTTCCAAGGGGTACCCTAGAAAAATGTGGCTTTTCCCAATTTGGCCACTTTTGCTCCTTCCGATGGCCATAGCTCGTCCAATTTGTATCCGATCAGGAAACAAAGTACCATTCAGTAATCAGTGAACCCAGAAGCGAGTTTCCTCGTTTAAAATATTGCTTTAATATAGTCTTGAAATTTTTCGAATTTTTTCCAAGGGGTACCCCTAGAAAAATGTGGCTTTTCCCAATTTGGCCACTTTTGCTCCTTCCGATGGCCATAGCTCGTCCAATTTGTATCCGATCAGGAAACAAAGTACCATTCAGTAATCAGTGAACGCAGAAGCGAGTTTCCTCATATAAAATACTGCTATAATATAGTTTTGAAATTTTTCGAATTTTTTCCAAGGGGTACCCCTAGAAAAATGAGGCTTTTCCCAATTTGGCCACTTTTGCTCCTTCCGATGGCCATAGCTCGGCCAATTTGTATCCGATCAGGAAACAAAGTACCATTCAGTAATCAGTGAACCCAGAAGCGAGTTTCCTCATTCAAAATATTGCTTAAATATAGTTTTGAAATTTTTCGAATTTTTTCCAAGGGGTACCCCTAGAAAAATGTGCCCGATGGCCATAGCTCGGCCAATTTGTATCCGATCAGGAAACAAAGTACCATTCAGTAATCAGTGAACCCAGAAGCGAGTTTCCTCATTCAAAATATTGCTTTAATATAGTCTTGAAATTTTTCGAATTTTTTCCAAGGGGTACCCCTAGAAAAATGTGGCTTTTCCCAATTTGTCCATTTTTGCTCCTTCCGATGGCCATAGCTCGTCCAATTTGTATCCGATCAGGAAACAAAGTACCATTCAGTAATCAGTGAACCCAGAAGCGAGTTTCCTCATTCAAAATATTGCTTTAATATAGTCTTGAAATTTTTCGAATTTTTTCCAAGGGGTACCCCTAGAAAAATGTGGCTTTTCCCAATTTGGCCACTTTTGCTCCTTCCGATGGCCATAGCTCGTCCAATTTGTATCCGATCAGGAAACAAAGTACCATTCAGTAATCAGTGAACCCAGAAGCGAGTTTCCTCATTTAAAATATTGCTTTAATATAGTCTTGAAATTTTTCGAATTTTTTCCAAGGGGTACCCCTAGAAAAATGTGGCTTTTCCCAATTTGGCCACTTTTGCTCCATCCGATGGCCATAGGTCGGCCCATTTTTATCCGATCAGGAAACAAAGTACCATTCAGTAATCAGTGAACCCAGAAGCGAGTTTCCTCATATTAAATACTGCTATAATATAGTTTTGAAATTTTTTAAATTTTTTCCAAGGGGTACCCCTTAGAAAAATGTGGCTTTTCCCAATTTGGCCACTTTTGCTCCTTCCGATGGCCATAGCTCGTCCAATTTGTATCCGATCAGGAAACAAAGTACCATTCAGTAATCAGTGAACCCAGAAGCGAGTTTCCTCATTCCAAATATTGCTTTAATGTAGTTTTGAAATTTTTCGAATTTTTTCTAAGGGGTACCCTCATAAAAATGTGGCTTTTCCTCATTTGGGCACTTTTGCTTCTTCCGATGGCCATAGCTCGGGCGGAACCCCTGAGTATGCGCACTCCGCTCCTGGAGGCGTTTGGCAGCAGTCGGCTCGTCTCTGCCATCAGCTGGCCGCAAACTCACCACGACGGCGACAGCGACGTCGGCGCCAAAAGCAACGGATCCGGCGAAAGTGGCTCTACGGCGGAAAACTCTCGTGAGGCGCCGTCAAATGCGCTGGGCCACAGCTGAGAACGGACGTGTACGTGTACGTGTGGTGGGTGAGAGCGGGTGGCAAGTAGAAAGTCGAAACTAGAAAGTCGAGTGCTGGACGAGCGGCGAGTGTCCGTGTAGCCGTATATCCGTAAATCCGTATATCCGTGTATCCGTGCATCCGTGTGCCACATGGCGTATACTTAACTTTTCGGGTCACCAGTCGTTTGTTCTCGGTTTATGCTTCGTAGGTGTCCGACTGGACAGTCGGTTGGCCATTCAGTCAGTCGGTCAGTCGGCGGCTGACCATCAACTGACACTGATTCGGAATCAAATGCAACTCCTTGCAACACCGCCTTGAAAACGCCTTGAACACAAACACACTCCGACACTCAGACACACACACAGAGTCAGCGGCGAGTTTGCGGTGCGTGAAAGTGCAGAGGAAGGAAAGTGTGTGTGGAAAATTCGTGAGAAAATGCCAAAAAGCCAATGAGGAAAAATTAAAATTTTAAGCTCAACGAGCAAAATAAATCAAGTGTGACACGTAGCAACAAAAAAAAAAATATTGAAAAAATAAGTAAAAATAAGGAACGGAGCGAAAGCAAAGTCGCAACACAAATACCAAAACGTATAATCGGAAATCTAAATTTCTTGTGACGCGCGTTCAAAAGTGCAGAAAATGTGGCCATCGCAGTCAATCAATTGATTTTTCTTTAGGGCTTTGCTACCATCTCCCAACTACTCGTACCCCCTGTGTGTGGCACATTAATAATGCTGCGGCAGCATTTTCACAATTTGTATCTCCATCTGGCCACTTACAAATCGGTGGAACTAGAAAGATAAACAACCAACCAACCGCCAACAGACAACGAAAACAAATTGCCAAACGGAAACCCAAAAACCCAAAAACCAGATCGCAGCCCAAACGAAGCCCCAAAAACAGGGTCATATGATTGACAATAGTGATGGGCTGAGGGGGATAAGGGGGGTGGACTGTTCTTAACCACAGGGGTGGCTACCATGGCTAACATAGTTGGCGTCAGGCGGGAAAGTCTCAGAAAAAGTCTCGAAAGTCTAGGCCCAGACAACAGACGCGGCGTCGCAATAATCATAAAAGCAATAACAGGGCACAAGAAATCATAAATTCATGTGTCAGCGGTGGCTCTTCTTTTTTTTCCGAGGGTTATTGGGGTGGGGGTATTAAGGGTTGGGGGGCTTTAATTCTTAAGGGTGGTTATAAGCCCGGCTGATTATTCATTCAGTAGCTGTAATTAGCCCGGCAGTTGCAGTTGCATGAATTATTCGACAGCCTTTAGACTAAAAGCCGCAACGCAACTTGGCCAATTAGGCGCATAAGCCGTTTACCGAGAAAGCCTCCAAAAAAAAAAATGACACACATATCAGCGGGCAGGTGGCACACACACCTACATATACACACTGTCACGTTTCTCGCTTGACTAAGGTCAAAACTTGTCTCTCCGAAGATAGTCCCCCAAAACAGCAAAAAGCGGATCCCATCTGAACTTGATGCTGTCGCTGAGGCGACCGACGACGCATCGCGAGGCTATTGTCTATTTTTAACGGAAAAGCACGCCCGCACGGCCAATAAATTTTCCCCCAGCCAGCCAAAGAGGAAAACAGAGAGAGAGCTAGAGCCGGAGCGTATATGTAGGCCGAGACATTCATATTAATTAGACTTTGCGAGTGAAAATCTTCTTTCAAAAACTTCAAAACTCATACTTTCTTGTTTTTTGTTTTTTTTTTTTTGCGGGGGAAAAGTGCGAATGTAGTTGTCAAAAGACACGCACAGGGAAAAACAAACCGCAGAGAGTGAGAGAGAGAAAGCGGTGGAGAGAGTACCCCAAGAGAGAGAGAGTAGAGTTTTCCAGGCGGCTTGGGCTTTCCAAAATAACACATTCCGTTAGCAAGGATACACGTACAAAGGATTGCAGGCAGGCTTGACATTGGAAGCTTGTCGTGTTTCGGGTCGTTTCGGGTTTTCGGCTTTGAGTTTTCGGTTTTCCGCTTTTCAGCTTTTCCTGCTGCTCGAGACTCGAGTTTGGAGTTTCCCCGACAACGCTTTCAGTTCGTGGCTAGACTTTGGAGCGTGCTGTGCTTGGAAAACTCAGAGTGCGTGAGCAGCGGAAAAGCGGAGTGTCGCCCAGAAAAGCCCACTCCCCCAGATACTCCCCACCCTTACTCTTACCCCCTTACCCCACACAGACACACAAACACACACAGATATACACTCATAACCGTTTTCCACCAGAAAAGTGTGCAATAAAATCGAAACAATGGAAAGCCAAACAAAACAACAGAGCACATAATACAAAAATTGAAGTTCATTTTGAATTGTGTGGACACCGTAAAGTTAAACCGTAGAGAAGGCGGAGAGTTTCGAGAACTCCGGGCTACGTCGCGAGTGTTTTCCGCCGTAAAGTAAGGCGTGTACCACCAACACAAGCACAAATACAAACGCAAAGCAACGCAAAAGCAAACACAAACACAAATGCGAAAAAGGAAATGCCTGAGAGGCAGACAGACAGGCTCGGAAAATGGAGAAAAATCCGCACTAGGACTCGCATTACCATAAAGCCCCAAAAGTTTTTCCGTCCTTTGTTAAAATTTTTGTTTCAAATTCAGATTCTAGAATCTTAATTTTTCAACAAAAGCGTTTCTAATTCTTATTGTTTTCTAGCGCGTGTGTTTGTGAAGCCTAATCTTTGTAAATTACCTGTAATATTGGAAAATGTAAAATAAAAATATTCCTACGCTCTAACTATAATAAACAGAAAATCAAAAAAAGAAACTTAATCAACGCTTAAGCCTAAAACCTAAAACCAAAACCATACCGGAGGAAAGTGAAACTTCTACTGCTCTCTAGTCGGTAAGTTTATAGAGTAATGTTTTTTAGGTAATATGGTAATGCAATCGATATTTCGGCAACTTTACGACTCAATTAGCGTTTCTAATTCGACATGCTACTTACTTATTGGGCTTTTCCAGCCGACTCCCGGGAGCACCTAGGTGGGGAAGAACTCTTTTTCCTGGCTCTTGCGGTTCTGCGGTTGCGGGGCCTTTCCTTTTATCGGCAACAATTACCCGAGCTGAGCAAACACATTTCCCCGAGTTGTCAAATCGGCCCTAATGGCACCTATACGTAGTCCTATTACTGCCCGCCCACGGCCACACCCCCTTTGCTACGTGCCCCCCCAAGATAAGGAATGAAAATAATATAATGCTCATGCTAGTTGACAGACAAGCCAATAATCAAGTGATGTGCCGCAAATATTGTGATAAGGCGGCATCCACCTAGGCATTCCCCTATCCTCCCCTATCGCCCTCTTTGGCGAAAGTTTTTGGAAATTTATGGGATCCGACAATGGGAGGGCGGGGCCCATAAAATATACTTAGTCCAAACATTGCCAGCAGGTGATAAAATTGCTTTAGATGTGTAAACAACAACAATGCACGCCGCTTAATGGGTTGCCAATTTTGGTTCCGTGTTCGGCTAGGCGTGGCCACCATTCCTGAGAGGTGGCATCCAGAGCAATTTTCGCCAAAGTAAAATGTTTCCGAAGGGATTGACGGGTTTAATGGAATCCAAGGGAGTTTATTGCTCTTATAAGCAAGCTTTAATCCCCACAAGAATAATCAGAAGGTATCCATAGATCAGTTTTCAGGGCAATAGGTTTTTACTTTAAAATATTCCTAGATCAAGTTACCTATAATATCCATGGCTTTAAATAAAAGATATATCATTGGAACGATCTGATACCTTAAAAGAATTATTATCTTCAACTCTTATCTACAAGATAATCATACTATAGTTCATAACAAAAAGGAATACCGTCTGCTGAAGAATATAAAGTTTACGACCTCAGAGCCATTTCTACCAGCAGCAGCAGTTTCCTAGATGACGGCCAAAAGTTGGTCCTGAAGGTTGTCCATAAATTTGGTAGCCGACTCCGCGCTTGTATGTACTTATTTATCTTTGCCAGTTGCCAGTTAAAAGCCATGAATTGTGTGGCCTGTCAAAATAAATACCAGACTATTGCAGCCTGACATTTTTATTGCAGTCGAAAGATTATTCAGAGTACAGAACGAGTTCTGAATGAAAATTGAAAGCGATCCGGAGAGGGGGCCGAATTCGATTCGATTTCATTTGAATTGTTTTTCGGCTTATTGAACCGCCTGACATTTTTCTATGGGCCTCGATTAAATAACCCAATGGCACGTTTGACCCAAAGAAAGTTGAAAAGTTTGCCTTGTCGCCTGTCTTTTTTTTTTTTGACGAGTATTTGTTAATGTTCATGGCCCATTAGATGGCCAAGTTTTGCTTTCATTAGAGCAGCGTTGAATCGTTTATTTGGGCCATTAAAGTTGTTAACTGGATTTGACGCCACTACAGAGTCCCCAGATACGCTGGCCGGATACGTTGGGCTTCGGAAGAGGTTTCAGAGCTTGCACATTAGTTATCCCGGATGTGCTTTTTCCTCCTCCTCGGGAATGGCAGGGGGATCCTCCAGCCTGATGACGTGCATACGTCGAAGGCATGCCTACGTCCCAGAGCTCCCCTAGTTTTTTGCCACTTGAGCGGAGTCAGCGGAGCGCGCTTCCATTCATGTTTGGGGGCACATAATCAATATTTGGCAAGCAGCCGAATCGCATATGACAAACAGCGACAGGGCGAGATACGCGATATACGGTATATGAATACTTCCTTGCCTCCGGAGAGGGGCAAGAAAAAAGGGTGAAAGCGGAACCCATTGCCAGCCCATCAGCAAAGTGCATCAGCCCATTGAATTCTGGCCGAGTGGGCTTTTGATGATTTACAAAAAAGGATTTTGTTTTTGCTTGAGCTACCCTTTGCATAAATCAAATTCGCAGAGTTCCTTTGTTCGAAAAATCCCAACACAAAAATGGCAAGAAATGGCAAAAACGTTTAAGCTATGGCTGTGTGGAAAATTGATTCAACATTTAGTGGCTAGTGGATAGTATTTAATTTCTAAAATTTTACATATTATGGAATAAGAGTATGCTGGTTTCAACTTCCTGGCCTTACGGATTTATTCAGATTCGAGTTTGGCAAATCAACTTTTTTGTGACTCGCCGGGAGGCGATAAAAATCAATGGCAGCGACAGCCAGCGGGTCTCCAGCTACGGATATTATGGCTCCGCCGTAGTTTTTGGCACACATGCAATGCCCCAGCTCTCCCCCGCCGAGTGGCAGCGTGGGAGTTCAAAAGTCGCCGCTGCATTCTGCAGGTGCAAGTTGCTAGATATTATCGTGGGCGTTCTACTCGGCGCTCAGACGACAACACAATTGGATTTGCAGCAAGTTGACAGCAAGGTAGAGGGGTAAAGCAACTTGAACAGTCAAAAACTTTAGACGCTGCCCCGTATTTGCTCTGGGCCTTGTTTGTCAAGGCAGGGGCCTGCCAAGAAAACGGCAGCGCGCCACAAATTTTCCCTTTCAATTGGGCAACTGGAGCGGCAAAAGGGAAATCAAAAGGCACTGAAAAAAATGCTTATGATGGCATATATGTCCATGTACTATGTACTTCCAAGGATAAGCTAAGAAGTTGGTATTAGCTTTTGTAGAGTGTAAAATTTTTGGGCCTCGAAGAGCTGTCACAGACTTCTGGAGCCTGCTCCGATTTGAACCTGCGCCTGCCTGGATCTGGCTGGTTTATTTATTTATGTACCTCTCGAGTGGATTGCATTTTGCCAACGAGATGGAGTGCCAATTGCTCACGCCTTAGGTATTCCGCTTCGATTTGGTGCGCAACGCGGCGTATACGCAATGCGATTAATCTTTTGCTCCCAAAACGGGGCTCATTAGCATGGGAGTGTTGCCTGTAATGTTGCCTCTAATGCTGAGCCAAAAAAATGGAATGGGAATATACAAAAACCTTGCAAGATTAATTGTGGGTCGTGTCGTTGCTCGTTTTTTGCCTTTTCGGCCACTTTGAAGGCTTTTTCGGCCGCTCGTTTCGGGCTAAGTGGCAACGCATTTATGCTAAATGGCCAGCAAAGAATTGTCTGTGGCAACAACTTGAAACTAATTGCCTCTTGACTGTGCTAGTCCGCCCACCAGTTCATCTTCCTCCGTATGCCGTATTCTGTATTCTATATTCTGTATGCTGTCCTGAGGTCCGTAATTGTTCATGGAAAACTGCACTTAAATACACCACATTACCGGGGAATGTGCGGCAGAATGTGGCAATGCAATTGCTTTTGCGGTGGTGCCTCAATTTGCTATGTGTTGTGGTCTACCTATAATGAGGCAGCATTGGTGGGTGAATAGGTACGGCTTTTGTAGAAACTATATATTCTAAGATACACACTTATTCTAAACTTTAAGTTAACTAATATTATAAAGTTTTTAATAGTTTCCAGTAAAAGTTTCTCAAAAGTTTTAGTTAATTTAAACTAATTACCATTGATTTCTGTAACTCTAAGACAGCGTTCTGAAAGTTTAGTCAGCAAACCAAGTTAAATAATTAAAGGCCAAGAAAGCAATTATCTTGATAATCAATCACCGCCAACTCCAAGCCACTTTCGTCTACCAAATTAAACTCGCGAGCGTTTTCAAGAAGTGTGATTCTTGGAATCTTGTTGCAGCATCCGCAGCTGCCACTCCCAGCTTCCTCGGGAAGGGAAACCGCCAACAGAGCTACGCTTTTCCGCTTTTCCTGGGGCGGTAATTGCAGCCCGTTGGCGTGATGGCGGAGGAGATGCCAAGGATGTTGCAGCCACCATTAGCGTCATCAGCATTATGTGCCATGATAATGAAACTTCATGATGGCGTGTTCCTAGTGATAATAAGCACCTAAACATGACTCTTCCCCCATTCTAGTCCCATTTCCATTCCCGACTCGACTCACATGCCGGCGTAATTCTTTTTTAATGGCGTTGAGATTCAATTAAGTGTGAAAACCCTTTCTCTCTTGTCATTGCTGCAAATTAAGTGAAAATTCTGCCGTTGGGGCGTGCCCCTTACAAGGCGTTTTATAGGCGAGAGTGGGCGTGGCTCTGTCTGTCTTGCGTATGTTTGTGATATCTTAATAAAGTTAAAAGCGCTGGCGCTTTTTGTTCAAACTTGTTACTGTCGTCTGCACACGAGCACGAATACATCGAGAAGCGATTGTGCGCCTTCTCAAGGATGGAAGGATGGGATGGGGGGACAATCGAGGACTTGGCTGAAAGTTTTCGCTTCTTGCTGGCGACATCCTGGCCTGCGCCAGATCAAAGCTGCTCAAGGAAATTGAAAAATAAAATTTTGCACTCCGCCAGCAAGAAAAACACGACTGTGGCGGGCACACAAAAAAGGCCGGGCCGAAAAATCTGTGAGGCTGAAACGAGGCTTAAATTTTGTGTTAAAACAGCGAAAAGAAATCCCCCAAAAAATTGTCTCTTTTTCTTTCGGTCTCTCCATCCCCTTGGAATAATGGTCACGGGGGCTTTGTGTCCCTGCCACTTTCCTCCATTGTATGTATGTATATCCTGCTGCGAAGTTGCAGGAAACGCGATGGAAATGTCTACGGCGGATTTTTCTCCATTCCACTCGGGTTGTGTAGCAACGGTCTTGGTTTATTTATGGCACAGCTGCTGCTGCACCCAGAGGATGTACTACAGTGGATCCCGGCTATAAAAGAAACTAGAGTTGGTATGGCTTTTCTCCCTTTTATAGCCAGGCTGCCCTGTGGCGGCAGTTACTTTGCATACATATGAGCGTGTTGCAAGTCAGTTATAGTGGAATATATGGTTCCACTTTAAGTGAAACTGCTACGGCGAGTGCTAAAAGGGAAAAACACCACAAGGCACAGGACGATGCAAACACACACACACACAAGAACAGTGCAGGATCCTGCAGGTGACTCG